CCTAAGACTCTCGAGTTCCATCAATTTAAAGTAATTCGATTATCCAGTTTCTTTTTATTACTACTTATATTATCTTATATTATAACAAAAATTATTATATTCATTAACTAATATATATAATAAATTATATTATATTTTATATTATAATAAAAATAATTCATTGTGGTATTTATTAGAATAATATAATAACTTAACTATAAATCAATTAGAAGTATTTTCACTTTCCTAAAAGATGAAAAAACTAGACATATATTAAAAAGAATTATATTCAAATGTTCAATCAAATTAAGCAAAGGATCTTACGAGTAAAAGATGAAACACCTAGAAAAGCCAGAGAAGGCGATGAAAGTGATAGAACACATTAAAGGTGTTGGCACACAAGAGCACTTCTACGCGTCGTCGGTTCAGCCCATTATCACAAACGTAGTTGATGGAGCTGACGCGTATGTACTCTGTTGTGGGTTTAAAAACAGTGGGAAGACATACACACTTGAGGGCAAATTCACCGACCTCCAATTTGAAGACGCTGGCGTTATTCCACGTGCGATGAAAAGTATTTTTGCGGAGTTGAAGAAGAAAGAGAAGTATGTAGTCAGAGTCTCGTTTCTACAAATTAGTGAGAACTCCATCGAAGACTTGTTGTGTGAAGAGAAGAACAAAGTTATAATCAAAGACGCGCAACGCAAGTTCAAAAACGCACTTGGAGGGGTCATCTTTTCTGGAGCGTCGGAGATGTCAGTGAACGACACCAACACGCCACAGATCTTTTCGAAATTGAATGAACTGAGAGACAACAAATTTGAGACTCCAGCACGAAATAACGACTTCTGTAAAGTATTTGTCGTTACGGTGATATCATCTATCAACCAACAAAAAGGCCCAAAAGAACTGGTGAATGTCGGAAGACTCACATTTGTCATGTTACCATCGTTCTCATTCCCACAGAATAAGATGAATATGGAAATCCTCAAATACGCGGAAGCAACCAAAGAACAGCGACTTAAAATGTCTTTAAAACTTGATCTGGTTACTAAGATATTACAAGAAGGTCTTGGGGGGCAAGGAATGCTGTTGTGTATCGGTTGCATCGATTTAAATAGCGAAAATAACCAAGCGGCGTTTGTCAGGAAATTTCTGTCGAAGATGGAAACGATCAAGAACGACCCTGTACTGGTAAGACAAATACTCAAAACAGTGTACGAGAATTACCTTGACGACGAGATAAAGCAATTGGAGTATCGGTACAACGACTTGATTAAGAAGAACGCAATATCAAAAGAAGTGTTCGAAGCCAAAAAGATCCAACAAGAGATTCAGACCCAAAAATACGCAAATGTCCAAATTGGGTCGGCAATACAGAAAGTACGTAAAGACGCAGAGTCGGAGTATTTGGAGATCAATTCAAAGATTCAGAAATGCAACGAGTACATCAAACGTAAGAAACAGACGGAGAGTGAAATCCGGGAAAAGATTGTTGAGATGTTGGCAATGGCACAAAGCATACAAGAACACAATACAACCGTCGAAGAAATGATCAAGAAGCAACTTTTGGACAACGAAAAGGAGAAAGCGGAGATCAAGAAAAGTGTGTCTATATGTAAATTTCCGAACGATTGGAACATTAAGATAGATGAGCAAATGAAGTGCTTTAAAGAGACCATTGACAAAATTAAAAGTGTCGTTGTGTACCACAAATGCGACATCGGGCGAACAACAGAAGAACTTGAAATCGGAAAGGCGAAAGATTTACTCGACTCGATCTTTGGTGCGTTCAAAAAAGATATCGAAAATATGAAAGACGTTGTTCACAGTGTTTTTGTGTCGCAAGAAAAAAACGTTGAAAATTTTGTCGCAAAGACTGACGCATTTTTGGAAACCCTAAACAAAAAGTCGGAAATTGAGGGTTTTGAAACTTTTGTCAAAACGCAAATTGAAAACCTCAAAGTGTTTATTTCCGAACTTGAAACCAAAAGAAAAGAAAGTTTATGTGAAATTGAAAGGAAAGAAAATGAACGCGCTGATGCGATGAAAAGTGAGCAAACGAATTTCAAAACGAAAATAGAAGAAGTTGTCCCTTTGCTCAAAAGTGACGTTCAGGCGACTTTTGAAAAATACCAAAAAGAAATTTTCTTACAACTAGCCGACCAAAAACGAACGTTTGACTCGTTGGAGATAGAACATCCGAATTTCGTGATGACTGAAGAAATGCTGTCGAAAATTACCGCAATACAAAAGGACATTGCGACAGATATCATGAAGAAAAAAGAATCAGAAACAATTCAAGATGAGTTTCCATGTGTCGAATTTCTGGATGAGTCAGCGTTCAAAAAGGAACTTGACAATGTCAAAGGTGTTGTTTCTAAAATATTTGAGGAGACTGGGATTGTCGCTTCATTGAAAAATGAAGAAGTAAAACTGTTTGAAAAGGATAAGGAGATGTCCGAAGAACAAATCCAGTTGAACCAATTCATCGAAAAGTGTTGCGAATCACTTGACAGTCTTAAAAGTTATACAACAAGACTCTTGCGCGACTTTGAAGATAAGATCGATATGGTCTCCGTTGAGTTCGAAAGTCAAATTGAAATGGAAACAATGCAGAGCCCACACCTCCCATCACTTTTACAACAGAACTCTGAAATGCCAACTGTATTAGAAGACCTTAGTCTTGATAATATGAAATGATTGAATGTTTATTTCTTTTCTTTAACACCTCAAATAACATTGAACTGAATTCAAGCAGTCTAATAATCGGGAGATTTAGAGTTTATTTAATATTTATCCCTTTTTTTAAAGTTTATTTTGTGAATAACATTACACAAGCCAAAAAAAAATCATCAAAAAATTACAATATATCCCAGTAAAAACGAGTAAATGTAAAAACAAGGGTGTTATTTTAAATGGTAACAAAAATAACATTCTTTTTTGCTTTGTCGAAAGCAAAAAAGAATGTAATTATGTCCAGACGTATAGTAAATTATAATTTTTTAATTCATTATTATTATTTTCAGGTTGTTAAAATTATTAACTAACTTACTATAACATTTTTAATTAAATGTATTACAATAACTATAATAATGTTAATTATTTACTTGTTTTGTTTGGGGTTTTGTTATTCAAGAAGAGTCTGTTTTCTAACGTTATCTGGTAAACAAAAACTAGCTTCAATTTTATGTAAAAATCGGGCATTAAGTAAAAAGTGTAAAAATTATGAAACAATTGAAATGAATTTTTTGAATGGCTTCCCGAAATATTTCATTTTACAATGCCCAAAAGGTATCAACAAGTAAGAGTACAGATAATGTTTTAAGACTGACTGTTTTTACCTCAAATTGTATCATTTTAAACTAATTTTAAAAGAAATAAAATAGGTTTATTGAAACTAAGAATTATAAGTTAATATAATATCATTTATATAATATCAAAAATACATTTAAATCAATTTTTAAATATTTTTTCT